CCTCCCCTGCTGCACTCTCCTATGGAGGTCTCACCTGGACCCACTCACCCAGGCCTAACGGTCGTAAAGGTGGTGGGGTTGGTCTGCTCCTGTCACCGCAGAGCACCTTCCGAGTCCTCCCAAACCCCCCTTCCCTATCCTTCTCCTCCTTCGAGGCCCACTGCGTCCGACTATTCTCCCCAACCCCCCTGAAGATTGCTGTGATATACCGGCCTCCTGGATCCATACCCCGCTTCCTGGATGACTTCTCCTCCTGGCTACCCTTCTTCCTCTCCTCTGAGCTACCCACCATCATCCTTGGGGATTTCAACATCCCTGTCAACCTCGTCAACCCAGACACAGCCCGTCTCCTCCACCTAACCTCCTTCTTTGCACTTGCACAGTGCATACAATCCACCACCCACTCCGACGGAAATATTCTGGACCTTGTCTTCTCCAACCGCTGCGCTCCCCACAACCTCACTAACACCCCCTTCCCTCTCTCTGACCACAACCTGATCACCTTCTCTATCTCCTCCTCGTCCTCCAACGCCTACCCCTCCAAATGTCACACTACTACCAGCCGTAACCTCCGCAACCTTAACCCTGCCTCCCTCCACTCTGCAGCTGATCAACTCCACGACCGCATCCTCCCCCTGTCCTGCCCCGACTTGGCTTTGACCGCCTACAACAATGCGCTCTCAACAGCCCTTGACTCACTAGCGCCTTTAACCACACGCAACATCAGACCCCGACCGCTCCAGCCCTGGCAGACTGATCACACCAAAACCAAAAAACGACAAAGTGGTGCCCTGGAGCGACTATGGCGCAAAACCAAATCCCAACAAGCCTTCACCCGATACAAATCTGCCTTCCACACCTACACCTCCTCCCTCCATGCTGCCAAACAGGCCTACTTCTTGACCCTCATCAAGGCCCTCTCCTCCAATCCTCGCCGACTCTTCTCCATCTTCAACTCTCTACTCTCTCCACCCCCACCTCCACCCAGCACATCACTCACTGCCCTTGAGATTGCCAATCACTTCAAAAACAAGATTGACACAATTCGCAAGGACATTGCCGCAACTCACACACACCCTCTCAAACCGTCCCCTCTCACACTAGCTACCCCCTTATCCCCCCTCCCCCTCGACATAACCCGCAGGGACTTCGTCGCTGCTCAAACTCTCTCCAACCCCCTTTCACCCTCACTCAGCTACCCCCCTCATCACCCCTCTCCCACGGTCCCACCACTGCTCTTGACCTCCTCTTCCACCCCACCCTACATTCCTCATACTGAAGCTCCCCCCCACACTCCGCACCTTTGACCTTACTACCATCGAGGAAGTCTCCAAGATCCTCTCTGATGCCCCCGCCTCACCACCTGCCCCCTCGACCCTATCCCCTCACAACTCCTACGACCTTCCTCCTCCTCCATCCTACGCTCCCTACCCACATCTTCAATCTCTCCCTCTCCTCAGGCACTTTCCCCTCCCCTCTGAAACATGCACACATCACCCCCATACTTAAAAAGCTCTCCCTGGACCCCCAATGACCCGAACAACCTCAGACCCATCTCCCTGCTCCCATTTACATCTAAACTCCTCGAGCGCCTAGTCTACACCCGCCTATGCTCTCACCTCAACGACAACAACCTCCTCGATCCCCTACAGTCCGGGCTTCCGTCCCCTACACTCCACCGAAACTGCCTTACTCAAACTCTCCAACGACCTGCTAACCGCCAAAGCTAATGGCCACTATTCAGTGCTCCTACTCCTTGACCTCTCTGCAGCCTTCGACACAGTCGACCACCCCCTCCTCAAAAAAAAACTACACTCCCTCGGCCTCAGAGATTCTGCTCTCTCCTGGCTCTCATCCTACCTGTCACAACGCTCCTTCAGCGTTACCTATAATACTACCACCACCTCCCCCTCACTCCCCCTCTCTGTTGGGGTCCCTCAAGGCTCTGTCCTCGGGCCCCTTCTCTTCTCCATCTATACCTCCTCCCTTGGCCAACTCATACACTCTCACGGCTTCAACTACCACCTCTATGCCGACGACACACAAATCTATCTCTCAACCCCCCCCACCTCACCCCCTTGGTCTCAGCCCGAATCACACACCTACTGAGCGACATATCAGACTGGATGTCGCTCCATTTCCTTAAATTGAACCTCTCCAAAACCGAGTTTCTTGTCTTCCCCCCAGCCCGGACACCACCCCCCATTGATTTCTCCGTCACGTCCAACAACGCTACCATCAAACCCGCCCTGCAGGCCAGAGTACTGGGTGTCATTCTGGACTCCAACCTATCCTTCCAGCCCCAAGTCCAATCTTTAACAAACTCGTGCAGACTCCACCTCCGCAACATCGCCAAATGACGCACGTTCCTAACCCCAGAAACCACTAAACAGCTCATCCACTCCCTCATCATATCACGACTCGACTACTGCAACTCCCTCCTCACTGGCCTGCCTCGCCGCTGGCTATCCCCGCTTCAGTCGATCCTGAATACGGCTGCCAGACTCATTCACCTTTCCAACCGCTCTGTCTCCGTCACCCCCCTCTGCCAATCCCTCCACTGGCTTCCGATTGCGCAACGGATCAAATTCAAAATCCTAACGCTGACGTACAAAGCTGTCCACCATACTGCCCAGAACTACATCACTGACCTAATATCCAAGTACCGCCCAGCACGCACACTCCGCTCCTCACAAGACCTCCTTCTCTCTAGTTCCCTGGTCTCCTCCTCCCATGCCCGCCTCCAGGACTTCTCCAGGGTGTCACCCATCCTCTGGAATTCCCTGCCCCAACCCATCAGATTATCACCTACTCTCCTCTCCTTTAGGCGCACCCTGAAAACCCATCTCTTCAGGGAAGCCTACCCCACCCCCTGCTAACTTGCCGACCTCCTCCACTCTTCCTACCACTCCATCCCCCACAGCTATCTCCTCCTGTGCCACCACCCCCTCTCTCCTAGATTGTAAGCTCGAAAGAGCAGGGCCCTCGATCCCCTCATGTTTTGCATTGTATTGGTATTGTTCTGTCACATGTTCTGTCCCCCTTTGTAATGTACAGCGCTGAGCGAACTATTGGCGCTTTATAAATACTGTATAATAATAATAATAATATAGAGTTATTTAAAGGTTGCCTACTTACCTTGAAAAAAATAATAGTTATAATTCATAGTTAAAGTAGAAGAAAAGCCAAATTCTAACTATTCTTAACACTGTTCCCTCCCCCCTTTCCCTATCTCTCCTGCCTAACCTGTATACTTACCTATTTTTGATCAGCTCCTATCCGGTCACATGTTCTCAGAGCTCTGGTTCTCTCTGCAGGGGAGAGGAGGGAGCACTGACAATGGCTGGGCTATGGGAGACTATGGGTGATGTTACAAAGCCATTGATGAGTGCTCCTTTACACAGGGCTCCAGGATATTATGGCTGGAACAGGAACAAATGAAAAATAGGTAAGTACACAAATTAATTTTCTAAAAAGGGACAACCAATCACAGAGGCTGTGTCTTAAGGATTCTTTGGTAAGAGACTCCCCACTTCAGTGGTAAATTAAAAAGACAGTAGAAACTTTATTAATGACACAACATGTAAACTCCTGTGGGAATGATTTACAAAATGAATAGGGACTATTTCCCTAGTGAACCGAAGTACACCAGTTTACTTTGAATATCCAATCTTGGACGAGGGAAATAAATTAAAACTGGATTGTTTCTTGCATATGATTGGATGACTAAAATATACACAGCTTCATCTTATTCATTGCGCTAGGTCAACCCTCAGTTTCCAGTGTGAACAGTTTGTATGCCTTTAGTAAATCAAACCCAATAGACTTGATTTACTAAAAAAATATTTATTTATTTTATTTTTCAAGTACTTACAGTATATAGCGCCATCAGTTTATGCAGTGCTTTACACATATATATTGTACATTCACATCAGTCCCTAACCTAACCCTCAAGGGGTGTACAATCTAAGTTCCCTAACTCACATTCATACATACACATACTAGGGCCAATTTAGACAGGATCCAATTAATCTACCTTTGGAGTGTCTTTGGAGTGTCTTTGGAGTGTGGGAGGAAACCGGAGTATCCAGAGAAATCCCACGCAGGCACAAGGAGAACATGCAAACTCCAGGCAGGAGATGCCGTGGTTGGGATTAAAGGATATTAACATAACTAAGTTGAAATATTATAGCATGAAATATTTTTCAAATCTGTGCTTAAGTTACATGAAGTAATTATATAAAAGCAGCAGGCACACAATTCTGATACAGGATACATGAAAAATGTAAAATGATCAAAGTGTTGCACTAGCTCAGCAATTTGATGGTTTTCAATGATTTCAAGTTTTACAAAGTTAAAGATTCCTTGCCTGAATCTGTGCATGCCTTGCATACCCAATTATCTGCAAGGAAACTAAAAAACAGAATTGGGTAACTGAAATGAACACAATTTTACTTTATTTAGTAATATAAAGGACCTTTTGATTTGCAAAGTAAATGTTGACTTAGCTTAGTGAATGAGGTGATCTGACTTCAGTCAACCTATCATGTGCAAGCAAAATCCTGTTTTTTTTAATTTTCTGTGCACCTGGCTGGGTATTCTTACAAACAAAATTCTTAAACACTTCAAAACTGAAACACTTTTACCCCCTTCCTGCCTAGGCCAATTTTTAAATTTTCAGTGCTGTTACACTTTTAATGACAATTACCCAATCATGCAACAATGTAGCCAAACAAAATCAGTGGGTGTTTTCTTTTTTTTTTGCAATATAAGTAAAAAAAACACCCTAAAATTAAAAAAAAAAAAAACACTTTTTAACCACCTCCCGCCCGCCATATAGTAATATGATGGATGCAAGGTAGTTCTCTCTCATTCTGGGAGGACGTCATATGATGTCCTCCCATTCTAACCGCGCATGTGCGGCTCCCGGAGCGCACAGCGCGGCGATCGGTGGTGCGCTGTGTCCCTCGGACACAGCGGATCACCGATCCACGGAAATAGCCGAAGATGTCGGCTTAGTCATGTGATCAGCTGTGTCCAATCACAGCTGATCACATGTAAACAGGGAAATGCCGGTTATCGGCATTTCTCTCCTCTTGAGCTGTCACACTGACAGCTCGAGAGGAAAGGAGACCCGGTAAGCGACATTCCGCGGTGGGGACATGTACATTGATCATCAGAGCATTGATGATCAGTGTGCCCTGATGATCAGTGTAGCCCCAGCAGTGCCACCTGTCAGTGCTCATCTGTGTGCCACGTGCCAGTGCCCATCAGTGCCACATCAATGCAACATAACAGTGCCTACCAGTGCACATCTGAGCTGCCTTTCAGTGTTACCCATCAGTGCCAGTCAGTGCCACCTATCAATGCCAATCAGTGGCACCTATCAGTGCTGCCAATCAGTACCACCTATCAGTGCCAGTCAGTGCCGCCTACCAGTGCCCGTCAGTGCCGCCTATCAGTGCCAGCCAGTGCCGCCTAACAGTGCCAGTCAGTGCCGCCTAACAGTGCCATATATCAGTGCTGCCTTTCAGTGCCCATCAGTGATGCCTGTCAATGCCCATCAGTGCCACCTACCAGTGCCTCCTCATCAGTGCCCATCAGTGCAGCCTATCAGTGCCCATCACTGCAGCCTCATTAGCGCACATCAGTGAAGGAGAAAAATCACTTATTTACAAAATTTTATAACAAAAACTAAGAAAAAAAAATTCTTTTTTTCTAAATTTTCTGTGTTTTTTGGTTTGTTTAAGAAAATATAAAAAAAACCCAGAGGTGATTAAATACCACCAAAATAAAGCTTTATCTGTCACAAAAAAATGATAAAAATATGGGTACAGTGTTGCATGACAGCGCAATTATCATTCAAAGTGCAACAGCGCAGAAAGCTGGAAATTGGCCTTGGCAGGAAGGGGGTATAAGTGCCCTGTAGGCTTGTGGTTAATTCTCTAATATACAATTTTGCAAACAAGTAATTTTTCTTCGTACATTTAGGCCAAAATGTATATTGCTACATTTCTCTGGTAAACATTAACCTAAATCAGTGTTTATTATTTAGTGTGTATGAAAGTTATAGAGTCTACATGCTATGGTATACATCATTGAAAATCGATCAATCTTGACTGCCTATCTAATTTCTGAAGGCCCTAAAATGTGAGGCTAGTACAAATACTCCCAAATGTCTCAAAACACATTATGCTACTCCTCCTGTGTATGGAGATACCCGCACGTGTGAGACTTTCTTACAGCTTAGCCACATAGGCCCAAAATCCAAGGAGCACCTTCAGGCATTCCAGGGGCATAAATTACACATCTAATTTTCTGAATATCTATCACAATTTTGAAGGTCCTGGAGCACCAGAACAATGGAATTACTCACAAAATGACCCCTTTTTGGAAAGCAAACACCCCAATGTATTTTACATAACGCATAATACATTTTTTGACCATGTAATTTTTTCCCAAACTTTTTAGCAGATGTGGAATGAAAATGATAAAAAATTTTTTTACAAAAGCTGTCCATTTATAAGATATTTCAAACACACAGCATGCACACACTAATAATTACACCTCAATATACATTCTTCTACTCCTCCTGAGTATGACAATATCACATGTGTGAAACTTTTCCACAGCATGGGCACATAGAAAGGCTCATCATCCAAAGAGCACCTTCAGGCATTCTAGGGGCAGAAATTACACTTTTAATTTCCTGACAATTTATTACATTTTAGAAGGCCCCGGAGCACCAGGATACTGGAAACACCTAAAAAATTACCACATTTTGAAAAGAAAAACTACATTGTATTTTCTATGAGGCACACAATGAGTCTTTTGAACATGTAATTCTTTCTACAAGTTATTGGAAAATGTGGAAGAAAATTAAAATGTATTTTTTTACACAATGCATAAACAACAGATATAAAAAAAATAGCTTGTGCTCTGGCCACTATAATACCATGCTGGACAGGAAACATCACAACATACAATGTCCAAGTTCTTAATCTCTTAATTTTGTTGTCTCCTGGGGTGCTGCGGCTCTCTACTGTCTCCACACCACCACCATACTGTAATACCGTTTTATTGTAATGCAGATTAAAAACTTTTCAGATTGCACTCACATTTTCACATAGGTATCAAGCATGTCTGCGTGTAAAGTGGTCCATTGCATGGTCCCTGTAGGATCTGAAGCCTCTGGGTGATCCATTGCTGACCGCAAACAAACGAAGGCTGCTCTGGAGGCACAGTGACAGACTGTTGGCGTCCCTCCCCACTGTGCATGTTTTCAGTCCAGCTGGTAGCACCGAGGGGGAGGGCAGATCACAACGTAGGAATGCACATCACGACCACATCATGGTTGCTATGTTGATGCATGTTAGAGGTTTGGCCTCCTTTGTCAAGTCACACCCACTCCCTATTGTCAAAGGTTTTATAGGGTACCATGGTTCCTCCTGACATTTGGATCTTAAGGGACCACGCCACCTATACAGAGCCTGTGAACAGAAACCAAGTGTTTAGGTGGCGTGGTCCCTTAAGATCCGAATGCCAGGAGGAGCTATTATCCCTGCTCTATTAACAAGAACAATGTTCAAATGGCAAAATAGAGTAGAAGAGCTAAACCTAATGTCAACCAATGCAACACCAGAAAAGGAAATAAAAATACAGGAAGTAAATACAAGCACTAGAAAACCACCAGAGTATGAAATAAGAAATCCCCATACACCTAGGAGTGAATACAGGAGAGATTATCATCCATATAGAACAGCAGCACAGAGAGGAAAACCAAGAAATGAGAATGAAAACAAATACTGGAAGAAACAACAATAGAGGAATAATTGGAGTAACAAAAGACCCTATTACCAAAAACCTTATCATTAATACAAATATAAGAAAAGAAGCCCTGCACCATATACTAACAGACAATGGACTCAGAAACAACAAAACAAAAACAAAACAGACAATATCATCAGTGTGACAGGGGTAGCCTCATTCCTCTATATATAATCAGTACAAACTTTTGAGAATAGATGAAATATATGAAAGGACATTTGAACATTTTTTAGATAGGAGAGGAGAACAGAACAAGAGGGCTGCATAAAAAGATCACCAGATGGAAGAATGAAAAGAAGTCCAAATCGAGGTGGGGATACCAAGCAGGAATCAAGAAACAAAAGAGAGAGTACTAGGTGATGGAGTTTATAGTCCAAGTGGAATGGATCTGACAGTTGAAGAAGATAAAGGATTGAAATTTGCCCTGAAGAAAAAAGTAAACAAATTTGAAGTATGTATGGACCTACAGAAATATACAAGGCAATTGAATATCAAGAAATATATGATTACTAAACCAGGGAAAAAAATATAGTCTTTAGGACTATTGACAATAAAAACAATAGGCATAGCACTCTAAAAAACAAATTGTTGTTTAACCACTTGCCGACCAGCCACTGTAGAAATATGGTGGCAGGTCGGCACAGCTGCACAAAACCACGTTTTAAAACATGCTTTTGCAAAACAGGTAGGGGGCGTGCGTGAGGCGTGCCACCGCCCTACCTGCGCCGCAGATCGGGGCCGTGGGTGTCAGTCGCCGGGTCACGGCTGGTCATTACCTACCATGTCCCAGCGATTAGCGAAATCACTGACAGAGAGGACGGCTACAGTGTTTACACTGCAGCTGTGCTTTCTGTCAGTTCCCTGTCAGCTCCTGACATGCTGATCCGGAGAAAATAGTTTATCTCTCCAGTTCAGCCTGTTCCTGTGCAATACACACTCCCGCCCCCTAGTAAAACACTCCCCTCACACAGTTAACCCTTTCAGTGAAAAAAAAAAGTTAACCCCTTCCTCCCCAGTGCCATTAGTACAGTGTCAGTGTTTTATTTTTTGCACTGATCACTGTATTGGTGTTACTGGGGATGACACTGGGGGGAAGTCAGTTCCCCCCCAGTATCAGAATGTCCGCCGCAGTCCTGCCATAAGTCACTGATCACAGCCATAAGTCACTGATCGCCGCCATAAGTCGCTGATCGCCGCCATTATTAGTATAAAAAAAATCCCAGTATCTTTCCCACCATTTGTAAATGCTATAACGTTCACGTAAACCAATTAATTTACACGTATTGGGATTTTTTTTAGCAAAGACATGTTGCAGAATACATTTTGGCAGAAATTTATGACTAAATTTGATTTTTACATTTTTTTACTGGACATGCTTTATAGCAAAAAGTCCAAAATATTGTTTTTTTTTCCTCAAAATTGTCAGCATTTTTTTTTATAGCGCAAAAAATAAAAAAGCACAGGCGATCAAACACCACCAAAAGAAAGCTCAATTTGTGGGAAAAAAAGTATGTAAATTTAATTTATGTACCGTATTGCATGACTGCGCAATTGTCCATTAAACTAGCACAGCACTGTATAGCAAAAAATGGCGTAAATTGCAGTATCTATACCATAGTTTGTAGACGCTATAACTTTCACACAAAGCAATCAATATACACTTATTTGGATTTTTTTTTACCAAAAATGTAGCAGAATACATTTTGGCCTAAATTTATACCCAACTTTGAGTTTACTATATATTTTTTATAGCTGAAAGTAAAAAATATTGTTTTTCTTCAAACTTTTTGGTCTTTTTTTGTTTATAGTGTGAAAAATAAAAAGCGCACAGGTGATCAAATACCACCGAAAGAAAGCTCTATTAGTGTGAAAAAAAGGACGTAAATTTCATTTGGGTGCAGCATTTCATGACCGCGCAATTATCAGTTGAATTAGTGCAGCGCCGAGTAGCAAAACGAGGCCTGGTCATTAAGGGGGGTAAATCCTCAGGAGGGCAAGTGGTTAACTCACCAGTAAATGACAACCAACATGTAGAAGTGTTCCAGAAAATGGTGACAAAAAGATTTGAATGAATTGCAGGTGGTTGGCAAGTGTCAGAGGGTCTTATATAGTATATAAGTTTGTAGGCATTTTGGAGGTTTTATAAAGAGGTCAGTATATGTCTGGAGTCCTATACAGAGGTTGTTAGGTGTTTGGGGGGGTTTATATGGAGGTCGGTAGGTGTTAGGTGCACTGATGACTTTTAATGCACTTTCCATTCTCATATACTGTATTAAGTTTGTAAGAGTGTTAAAATAAAAGTGGGTGCACTGGTGGACTCGGTAGGATAGCCCACGGGTGTATTTGGTGAGATGGTCACTGGGCGAGCCCTGTGGAATGTTGGTGGTCAGGTCTGAGGGGCCCAGGCCTAAAGCTGTGTAAGGGGCCCCAAAATTTCTACCTGTCTGTATGAGGGTTTTTCTTCTTTTTTTTATTTTTGAAAGCTGTCCCGACTCACTAGTCCTGGAAATTAAAGTCAGTCATGGACAGCTGAGCTGCTTGCAGTAAACCTATAGTAAGGCACCAAAACAATAATAAGTAAATACACCTCAAAATATGTGAATCCCCCACAAGAAAGTAACACTTTCTCCCTAGAAAGTAGAAATCATAAGATATAAACCTTTCTTAAACCTAATTCATCAAAACCAAGTGAGTAATCTGTGTATTCCTAACCACCTACGCAAATATTCCCAAAAATATATAATAATAAATAAATAAATAAATAGATAAATAAAAACATATTAAAAAAAATATGAAAAAATAAATGAAAAAAATGAAAAAAATTGTCCAAATAATGTCCAAATCAAAAGTAAACCAAACACAAATAAGTCCAATATGAAGGATTACAAATCCTATTTCAATCCTCGTGATACCTCGAAAAAAGAATACTCTTATATAGTGCATTATCGTCTAA